CTATTATTACCAATATTAACTTGCTCTTCGTTATTAGGTTCTACAGTTGCCATGATAGATATTTACCTTTATAAAGTAGAAAATAGGTAGTGGTAGTTGAAGATTTTTTGGCCGTGTTAAAAAATATAACAAAAAATATCGGCGATTCCTGAAAGGAATCGCCCCACTCATCACTCATTACAATTTATAAGATTATCATTTTTTGTGTAACATGATTTGTAATAAAAGAACAACCCATTCAATAATCCTTTGTTTTTTTAATCTTAAATCAAATAATGTTTGTAAGTATATTTTTTTATAGTCATACTAATAAATACATATCATTTACTCTATATATTTATTAGCTAAAATTGATAGCTGCAGGAGCCCAGTTTGAAGACACAATCCATCTCAGCCTTTATCTCTATGATCTATACAATGAAAACCTTTATTGTACAATATGTACATTTATAGTAACTTTCTTTCTCATACTGGCCAGAGTCAGTGCACTAGAAAATATTTACCGATTTGATAAGTGGCTGCATCTACTAGTTATTGCAGATTTGATTGGTTGGGATTATATGCATCTTGGCTGAATAGTGTTCGGATATGCATTATACATAGCAAAAGTCTTTTTTAATTCTGATCATGATTGATTCTTTACAAAAATTTAAGTGTATACATAAAAACAATATAAATCAAACAAATGAGTGGGGCGATTCTTTTCAGGAATCGCCAATATTTTTTGTTGTATTTTTTAACATGGCCAAAAAATCTTCAACTATCTATAGTTTTAAAAAAAATCAAATATAAAAAAAATGATTGATATTTTACTCGATAAGTTAAATAATGTTTGTAAAAAAAATAATTTACAAAACTTAGAATAGAATACCCAGTTAATTAATGCTGCAAGTAAAGATATAAAAGAAATTTCTTTAAATAATAAATTTGCTGAAAATAATAATCCTAAAAATTTTTATCATTATAAACAACAATATTATAATGCTAAAGATGAAAATGAAGTTATAAACGAATTATTAAAAACAAATAAACATAAAAAAATTTTATTAGATAAAAAATATAATTATTTTGGTGCCTCTTTTAAAAACAAACATTGGGTATTAATT